TCTTGCCTATCTGGTAATGCTAGCCTACCTGTACTACACTGCAGTAGTTTGCTGGGCTTCTCAAAACACTTGTTCTGTATTAGGAACAAGCAAACATACAAGGAAAGTTGCTGTAACTTCTTCCTGTGGGTTGTTCTTATACAGGCAGTATTTACAAGCTTGCGCCCAAGGGTCACGTTCAAATTCTGGTTTTGATTTTATTGCAGCATGAGTTTGTTTGCTTTTATATAAAGTGTAAAATTTGTCATTTGACAGATTTTATAAAGGCTTTTATTTCCCTAACTAGGTTAGTAGAACTTAGTTGCAACATTTCATGTCGTATTGAATTATTTTCACTCTTTTTATACCATTTAAATATTTTTTGATTGAACTAGAGAAATACATTGCTCAAGAAAATTTAAAAGAGGTCTTTGGAGATACATTTCCTCTGCACAAAATATGTACAATGCAAATAAGGATAAATACTCAGAAGACTCTCATGAATATTTTTTAAAAGAGCTTTTTTAACGATTAATGGCATTATAATTTGAGAATTTGAAAGCTGTAATGTGTGGAAGAGAAACGGTATCATACATAATGTTTGACAAACTATTTCACAGTGGGAAAAGCAGCATCATAATATTTACAGGCAAAGCATTCTTTGATTTTCATTTTGCTTTTTTTCAGTATGATCTGTAGATCCCCAAATTAGGGGTCATATATTGCATACACATGATAACCTTTTTATTTATGATGTTCAGCCTCTGTATAAATCATGACCTCCCTCCAATTCATATCACATGTTCTACATGCATGTTCTTCTGTAAATTACAAATTTGTTTTTGTTTATCTTGTAAGGGATTTAGGTTAGAGTATATGCAGTAAGTACAAGCTAAAGTAATATTGAATACACAAGAAAAAATTAGGGGAAATACAACTAAAACAATTTCAGCTTCTAGATGAAGAAAGAGGCTGTTCGGATTGTTGGAAATCACTGTCATAAACAGTGTTCTCTGCATGATTTTGGGAACTGATTAATATATCCTAATGTCTTATCAGGTTTGTATTTACTGGCTTAATAATTTCCAAACTGATACATTTTCCGTAATATATCACCCCCAATAAAATTCACTTGAAATATACAGTGACGTATAAGACTATTAGGTGCACTTTCATCTTTTCAGTGATTCTTTATGAAATATAATTAAAGTTTAATTCTACATAATTAGAGTTTCTTCTTTTTTTTTTTTTTTCTGGAGATGTGTAAAAGAACTGTATTTGTTCTCTCATGAGCCCAAGTATTTCTTTAGATTTTGGAAGGGTGAAAGCTGCAAGTGTAGAATAATAACATAGCAAAACCAAAAGCAGCCTTTTTATCTTTTTTCCTTTTTCTATTCTGTCATATTTGCTCATATTCTATTATTTTGGTTTCCATCTTGATAAAGGATAAGTGATCAGAAATACTCAGAAATTTCCATTTTGACTGTGAATCTCAAAGTCATAGGGTGTTTAAATCAGAGATTTAGTTTCACTATTTTTAAGCTTAAGTCAGAAGCAAAGTACAGATCAGAATTCAAATCCAAATGTCTTGAAAACAAGGAGCATCCAATTTCAGAGTTTTCATGCGGATATGTTTGTGGTGTACATTTCTGACCGGCACTTAAATAGTACCATTGGAACTGTGAGAATGGTAATATAAGTAAAAACCTGTCAATCTGGCTGTGGATTTGCTAAAACGATTACTCATTTCCCTGCCATTTCTAACATTTTTTTTTCTAATTAACATAATGAGAGCTAAAAGAAATTTTGTTGCAGGTCAAGAACACTGAGCAAAGCTGGACTACAGTTATATTACCCTCAAAGACAGCAATCTGGAAGAAGAATGATAGTATATAGACATATATTATTTCTACATTCTAAACTCTACTTGATGTGCAGGTCAGGGATTCTCACTTTAGACCTTTCAGCCATTGGGATCCAGTTAAATTCTTCCTGTGAGATGTAAATGCCCATGTATTGTCTTTTGTTTCCTGGCACTAACATATAACCAGAAGAGCAAATGTCCATGAAGTACTTGGCCTTCTCCTGTAAACAAACACTGTATTGCCAAAGGCATGTGATCATGAAATACCTTTCTGCACCACAGCATGAAAGAGTAGTTCATGCCATTAAACTCTTTGAAACTGTGATTTATTCAAATATGTGGTTTACTGAAATGCTAGGAAATCAGAGAAAAAAAAATAGTGATAAATAATTGTGATCTTAGTGTTTAAAATAATAAAATAATCTCTGTCACAAATGCTGAAAAAAAATTTCAAGCATCATAGTGTACGAACCAAACAGCTAAAAATCAATTTTGTTCTGTTAATAATTTTAGAGCATTTAAGTATAAAATAAAGCCAGCTTAAGTTTTAAATTGTTAGTAAACCCTAATTGATCAAAAAACTAGTTAGTCATTGCATGTCTGAGTGACTATAATCCCTTGTTTTCACTAAGATATTGATCAGACAAAATTTGTGTAAAAATACTTGGGATTTTGGGATGCAAGCAGAGAAAAGCAAATGCTGGTTTCATAATTTTGCCCATTTGTTTTTCGCAGCTGAACAAATCACTGATTTGTAAACTAAACAGCTGCCTCAGGCCCTACAGTTTTTAGCATCATCTATTTGTAAGAGTGCTGTACCTGGTTAGCCACCTTGAGTCTCAAGTTTGAATCTGTGAGAGTTGAAGTTTAGGAAGTTTGGGATTCCTTTTGCTTGCTAAGGTTTGGGAGGTCTCAGGGATGTAACAGTCTCCTGTACTCTGAGCCTCAATATCCATCAGAGCCTCTGAAAACTGTATTTTTACAGTTATGTTTACAATGAGTAATGTATCTTCATATAAATAGCAGAATGAATCTTTGAATTCAACAGAAATGTTTTAATATTTTACTAAATATGTAAGATTAGTGAGGGTATCCTTGAGTTTTCTTTAATTAGTAAGCCACTGATCACAAAGGAAGACTATGCCTGAGTAGCGTCCTGGTTCTGTGCTGACCAGTACTGAAGAAATACAACCAGTCACACAAAAGTCCATCCTAGATTCTTTGCATTACATGATGCCAAACTATCTCTGCATATATATGGGGGCTATATATTCAGCTTGTGCTGAACTGTACGAGTTTTTATTATACTACTGGTTTCTGAAATCACAGAGGTGTTTAAACCTTGGAAGTCTCATTTTTCAGGAATTTGTGCTGATATTTTCCATCTGTAAGTGCCTGATTGGCTGCTTTGCAACACTCTGCTTTGCTTCGTAGTATTAGACTTGAAATAGCCTTCTCCTCAGCCCCAGCTGAAATCACATGAAATCATATTTTTGCATTATTTCCGTGTAAAGTAAGTAAAAGTTCATTAAATACCTGCCTTAATTTTACTGGGGATATTAATGAACCATAAGATTTATTGGAAGACATTTGCAGTTTTACATCCATAAAGATGGGTGAAACCAGGTATGGTTGATTTTATTTGAAGTTTTATTTGAAT